CCACCTGCTGTTTCCCATCCCTGCTCAGGTTTCCCCTGCGTGCGGCTCGCTGACAGCCAGCGCAGCTGCAGCGGTGCCGAGCCAGGGGCTGGCCCGGCGGGAGCGAGCGTGGAGCCGCGCGCGGGTCCCTGCGCTGCCCTTGCGCTCGGCGCAGCCGCCCTCCCGCCTCCGCGCTGCTAACGCGGCTGCCTCGCTCTGGAGGGAGCTCACGGATTTGCTGTTCCTCGCTGACAAAAGAAGCAAGGAGATAATTCATTTCTGTCCCAAAAGGAATCTCTACAGGAGGGCTTTGAGCTGCGCTTTCAACCATCTCCCTTTGGAGACCACCAAGCAGGCTTTAAAGAATCCGTTCCACTTTTAGCAGCAATGTAATATTGGTGGAAATTGAATAAACTCCACTATCAAATGTTTATCCTATTACACTGGCTTAATTAATTTAAGCTGCTGAAATCAGCATTGTGTTTTTATTTTTAATGAGCCCTTGGTAAAGCAGCTTCTTCCATCATTGTCAGGTGTGCATGGAAGCGCTACGCTCGCAGCAAGCAGTTCCGCCTCGTGCACAGGCTTGCAGCACGCAGTGTTCACCGGCGGGGTGCAAGGGACAACACGCTCACTCGAGGGCTCAGCCTCGTGCATACACCATGCTTGCAGCATGCTTGCAGCACGCAGTGTTCACCGGTGGGGTGCAAGGGACAACACGCTCGCTCGAGGGCTCGGCCTCGTGCATACACCATGCTTGCAGCACACAGCGCTCGATGGTGGGGCACGAGGAGGCCGCGCTTGCTCAGAGACTTGCCGTTGCACAGACACCACGCTCGCAATGACATCCTTGACCTACTTGCCTTTGGTAAACGCACCAGCAGTTGCAGGGCCCCGTGGCGACGGCTGTGCCGCACGGCGGGAGCGATGTGCTCTTGCTGCGCGCCGCAGGAGCGCTGTCCCGGCCGGCCCACCGGCCTCCGGAGCCGCCGAGAGGCCAATGGCAGCGGAGCGAGGAAGGTGGCGATGGGAGGCCGAGGCTGCGGGCGGTGATGGGAGGCCGAGGCTGCGGCCCCCCGGCCTCCAGCCTCGCCGAGCAGCTGCGGTCACCGCGGTGCCCAGGGCAGCTCCAGCCTGGCAGGAGCGCACGGGACAGAGCTGTGTGTCCCGCTCGGCCGGGCCGCTCCGAGCCATGCCGCCTTATTTCCCTGTCTAACACTGACCCCCAGTGTCTGCGAGCCGGGAGGGCTAAGGAGCCCCGAGACGACCCCAAGCGGCAGCCCGGYCTCTGGCCCGGAGCCCGGGATGACCCGGGCCATGGCGAGAGCCGRGCGGAGGCTGCAGCGCCCCTTGTCCGCGCTGGCACCGGCAGCCGAGCTCTGCGCCCCGCAGGCCCGTCGTGTCCTGGCGCAGCCTCGGGCACGCTGTGACCCGTCCAGGGCCTGGCTGCCTCTGCGAGCAGCGGGGACAGCAGCAATCCCCCAAAACAAGGGGAGGCGCCAGTCGAGAAGGCTCAGGCCCTCGGGAGGTGGCTGCTGCCTGGCACAGAGAGTCCAGGGTCAGACACTTGATCTTAGAGCCAACTGTGAGGAATCTGCCCCAAATTCGCACTGCACTGTGTGCCTCTGCACTACTTACACCAATCTGTGCAGCTTTAGCTCTAGATAAACGGGGAGTGAAGCAAATGCAACTTTTCAAATGTCCACAATGCTTGCARCAAAACATTCTGGAAAATAAAAGTGTGGTGGAATACTTGCTTATGCTTGCTTACATAACTGTAGTTAASGCAACTTTTAAACTAAGATCCAAGAAAGTTCTGTGAGTTGCTGCTCTGCTTTTTAGTGGCAACACTTGGTTGTCACAGTCCATGAAATCAAACTGGTTCCTGGAGCAATGGTAATGATTTGGCTCAGTGGGATGTTTTGTGCGGGGAGAGATTTGCTTATGTTTCATGGAATGCTTTAGAAATTAGCCCCGCTCGCAGCAGTTGGAGCCTGGGGAAGGTGTGAAACCTTGGGCAAATCAGCTGCCCTGAATTCACTGGGTAGCATTTGGAAAGGATTATGGCTATGTAAATGCTAGGGATTGTCCTTAAAGCCRGTTAACGTGTATCAACAGCGCACAGGATCCTGTTGCAGCAGCCTGTTCCCAGGCAGGAGCCGCTCCTGCGGCCGCATCCTCCCAGGGGACAGTGAGAGCAGTGCTTCGGACGGACACTTATCCTGACCACCCCACTGCAACCGAGGCCCTGGTGTACAGATGTCCCCTGAGGTTGTACATGGATTCCATGTTTTTTCACTCTATCTCCCAAAGCCTACGCACTGCATTCAGTTGTATTAATTTCTTCCAATGCCCACACCCCACATCTGCTCCGTGACAGGGCATTAGAAAGGAATGCAAATTAAGGCACTTGGAGGTTTTTTTCAGGTGGCAGTCTTTGAATTTTCTTATATATTATAAATCCCTGTTACTTCCGTGTCAGGACGCTCTGGTTTCTGATGTGAATAATGCATCTCTGCCTTACATCAGAGCGGGGCAAGAACATCCAAGAGAGCACTTTTCACGGCAGTGACGGCTGACGTCGGAGGTGCTCTGGCGCTGCAGACCCCCGTGGCCCGCCTCCATCCCCGCGGAGACAGCCGCTCATCGCACAACCCTGCTGGGAGACACAGCGAGGAACAACCCCAAACGCGCGGCACAGCCGGCCGGCCGCAGCCCAGTTGGCATGACAACCCGGCCAGCAAGCGGGCTGGCTCTGGAGCTGGGCTAACGTCTCACGGGCGCCGCGGGAGCGGGCCYGGCCACGGGGGCGCAAAGGGGCAGGCCGAGGGGATCGGCGCCGCGGGCACGCGGGGCGCCGGCCCTTGATGCTCCCCGTTAGGCCGCATCTCCTTTCTGCTCTCTTCCCCAGGCGTGCTAASGAAAAAGAATTTGCCTTAACTAAAAATAGCTTTTCTGGCGCATGAAAGGACCTCTCGGTCTCCCGCTGGATTGCTGTTTAGTTTGACAGATCGCTCGTTCAACAGCTAGCAGCCGTTGCGTTTACAGACAACACTGGGTTTTTTTGGCGGCTGTCTCTAACGTGTCACTAATGTTCAGCCAAATGAACTCAAAGGATTATAACAGGCAGGGATGCTGGGGAAAGCGACAGGCACAGGGAAAAGTGCTGTGAGAAGCTAATTTACACAAGGAGCTCCCCAAMCCAAGCCTCCCTTCCTGCTCAGTACGCTCCTCACAGCTTTCTTGCAGGCGCCAGCAGCTCTCACAGAGGCAGGGAGCTCAGGAGCCTCCTCCTCCTCACCTGCCTGCTTACACAGCAGGGCCCAGTGAAAAACGCTCTCTAATATCGTTGAACATAAGCCCTCTTTCACATGGAAACGTGAACACRGTATCAATAGCCAGCGCTGCTGCAGGAGAGCCCGGGGTGATSGTACCGCAAGCTCCACCAAGGGCTTCCCCAAGCTCGGCCCCTGTCGCTGGCAGCCCCCCAGCTCCGCGATGCACGGCGCAGCTTCGCTCTGCCCTCGTGTCACGAAGGTCGGGGAGCACGCTCTTGTGGAAACTACATATTTAATTCTCCCCAACCTACTCTATTCTTGCAATTTTCAGTTCCCAGGGATATTAAAACAGAGCTGTTTGCCCGCAGCACCATCACTGCTCCTCAGACCATTCCAGTCCCGCTGTGTTTATGAGACAGAGTGGAAGTTTTTGCTGTACAACAAAAACAATCATTTGCATTCTCTGCCTGCGAGCAACAACAGCGCGAGCGCGGAGCCAGTGACAGGGCTCGGGGGGACTGCGAGTGGTCTCCGTGCAGGAGGGCGTGCGGGAGGGCCTGTGGCATGAGGGGCGGCCATGGTGAGGTGGGTRCTGTGCCATGTTGGGCCGCGCCGTGTCGTGTCGTGTCGTGCCGTGCCGTGTCGTACTATGGCACCCTGCTGCCCTTCCCGGCGCGGCCCTGCCGCCCTCGCTCCTTCCCTCGGGGCCGGCAGGGCGAAGGCGCCGGGCGGCCCCCCTCCGACATGGCGGCCCCTCCCCGACATGGCGGCCCCTCCCCGACATGGCGGCCCCTCCCCGACATGGCGGCCCCTCCCCGACATGGCGGCCCCTCCCCGACATGGCGGCCGCGCGCCCTGCCCAAGATGGCAGCGGGCGGCGCGGCGCGGCGGGCGGCGCGGGCGCCGGGGCCGGGAGCGGGGCCGGGGCCGGGAGCGGGGCCGGGGCGCCGAGCGGGACCGCCCGGTGCCCGCAGCAGCCGCCTGAAG